TTTTTCTTTAAAATAAAATAACTGATGTCAAAAAAAGATACTTGGAGGGAATCCTTGAGATGGTCTCACTTCAAATATGAACTTGTGAGGGACATGGAATTCCCTTGGAAGCACCACAAGCAGCCCTGGTCAAAGAAATGTACCAGGAGGTGACCATTCACCATGAATGGGGAGGACAGTATATTGTTGGTTTTATTTTACCTTTTGTTTGTTTGTTTGTTTGTTTATTTATTTATTTATTTATTTTGCGGAACCGGGGATTGAACTCAGGCCCTTGTGCTTGCCAAGGAAGCACTTATTCCACTGAGCCATCTCCCCAGCCCTGGGAGGACAGTATAGACACAGCACAGTTAGGGCTTCAACATGAGCCCCTCATCTCTGTTGTAGAGTGGGAAAAACAAAAGGGAGGAGGAAAGAAGAAATTTACAAATGACCCAGCTATCCCTAAGGTAAATTTTTGAAATGACTGATTTGTCATCCATTTCCTACCTATCTGCCTTCAGACTGTATTCTGCGAATTAGAGGCATCAGGGCTAGTTACTGAGGAGGCCCCATGCTCAACAGACGGCTCTCCACAGGCAGCATAAAGGTGACTACCCTCAGCTTAGCTGAAACTTTAAGACAATGTGGGCAACAGAGGACAGAATCACTGACTCAGTGCTACTGTTGTCTTGCTAAGGACACTTCTGGGCTGAAGAAGAAAACATAGCACCCTCAAACATCAAGACTCCTGAGAATGAGACCCAAAGAGCTCTCCCTACCCTCCCAGCTCCCAATGACATTTCACTCTGCTGGTCTTGCCCTCAACATTATTTCTTCCAGGAGCTTCCCCAGCCCCATGGGTGAGGTTATGTGTTCCCACTGTGTGTTCAGGTGGCACCTTCCTTTCTCCTATATCATATAAGTCCTACCATGCTTTTATCAAGAACCTGTGTCACACCAGTCTGTCTGAATATGCTCTTTGCTTAGTGACAGAAGCATCATCATGTCCATCTTGGTGTCCACTCTCAGAAAATGTTAGTTGTAAGAGTGAGCAGCCATAAATTTCTTACCAGCCATTCACCCACACTTTTCCCACCCCACTGTCTGAAAATAAACCAACGCATGATTTCCTTTGATAAGTGGAAATGGCTTAATTTCCAAGAAGCGGAAGACCAAAGCGTGCAGAGTTTGACCATTAAAAAATGAGAAGTTAGCAGTGACATCTTTCCCCTAAAGTTTAATTTAAAACAAAATTAAATATAGAAGTGGTGCAACACTAAAGTTCATTATGACTCAAGAGATTGCAAATTGATTGATAAACCTTGGACTTTTCAAAGCTCTTACCATACTTCCCTGCTGTACAGGGAACTTTAGGATAGCAGCAAATCAAGCAGAGGCTACACTGTTGCATAAGAGAATTCAGAACTTATTCAACATATGTATCACAATTTGGTCTATACAACTTGATAGGAGAGGAAGTTTCAGAAACCGGGCTTAAAAAAAACTCCCTGAAAAGGCCAGAGCTATCAGAGACACTTGAAAACAAAAGGAAATGATTCTCCCGCCTCATAGTGGAAATCA